TACTGACCAAATACTTATTTCCACCATATTTTGCAAATAAATTCTTTAAAAATCAGACAATGTGATTTTCTGGATTTTTTTTTCTCATTTTGTCTCTCATAGTTGAGGTATATCTATGATGAAAATTACCGGCCTCTCTCAGCTTTTTAAGTGGAAGAACTTGCACTATTGGTGGCTGACTAAATACTTTTTTGCCCCACTGTAAGCTACAGTACTTGTTTCCCTGGAGTATCTTTGCATGCGAAAGACACTCTGTGTGGTACTTGAAACTCAGGGTTTGAAGTGGGCACCAAAGCTGTTCCTGAAACAACTCCCCTTCCTGACATACGTACTGAGTCTGATCTGTAAGGTAGTTGGTTACCATACCCAATCAGTTTCTCTCAGCATGAGGGGTTGGATCTTATTTAAAGAACTTCAGAAGTCAAACAGGGTGACTCTCACCTGGCATATTGTTTCCTCCAGACAGATGTAAACGTGGTGATGCATTCAGGACAACAATCTCCACTCCAGTGGGCTCCTATAAGCAAACAGGAGTGAAGCCATTGCATGAGTGACCTCTGACCTTCAGAGTGAAAGATCCAGACCCTGGGGTGTTCATAATATGTAATGTTAAGGTCACTGGTCTGTAATTGTTTAGCTCAGCTGGATGCCTGACCTTAGCCAGCAGTTCAAGGCAAGATGTCGTCCACTGAACTATGCCTGTTTAAAGACTCCTGTTGTCAAAAATCAGTTGATAAAAGAAAGATGAACTAAATGATCAAAGCTTTAGAAATAATGCTTAACTGAGTCTTACACCTTAGTTTCACCTTTTTGTACCTGAAATCCAAGAACATATAGCTAATTGGTTACCTTACTTTAGTCTATCTAGTTTTATTTGTAGGGATTTTATAAACTTAATATTATTTGGCTATTTTCTGTTTTCTGTTTGTAGTCGATCTTTTTCTATTTTTGCTATGATGCTTTTCTTTTGACATTTAGCTATTTTGCTTTTAAAGTTGCTTGAGCGCTAGAGCTCTGTATTGCCTGCAAAACCCTACACAATGTCACATTGTTTTGTTTATAACTAATCATCAATACACCATGACTTTAGCCCATTTGATTTTTGATTTTTTCTTTTTTTTTTTATAGATCGCTTTGTATATCTGGGACAATGGGAAGGGACCCCATCTGACTGCTGTGCCTGAATTCTGCACAGAGCTAGAGGGCTCTCCTCATGCTCAGCAATGTGCAACCACTTTAAGCAAAGACCTTCCACTGTGTGTGAGTATTTGCTCTGTGTCCACATTAGTTCAAGTGTCCTAAAATCCCCGAAAACACTGAAATATTGAATTACCACCAAACATCATGAGCAGGGTACTGTTTTTTTTTACTGGTGGACATTGGATGGTTCAGCCTTGCTTAAGTATGCCGTTCTGCAGAACACAATGCATTAGCTGCACCAGAAAGAAGTCTTGATTTTGTTTCGCTAAATTAGATTTAGTTGTTCGCCAAGATTGAAGTCATTCCCTGTTGCTAAGCAACTTCCGCTTATATTATTTTCTGGCATTTTTTTCCTGTTAATTCTTTTCAAGTTGTGCTTTTTGCTATCACTTAATTTTGCTTTGTAATACGCCTTCAGAAAAACTCTGTAGCATATCTTAATTACTTAAATACAGGACATAAAATGTTTTAATTAAAACTAGAGACAATTCTAAGGGGCTTATATTTCCCTTCCCTTGTGTTCTCCAAAGCAACTGTATTATTGTGACAATTGGTCAGCATTAAGCAGTTATACTATGCAACATTTTGCAGTTTTTGCTATTCTAATTTAATAAAAGCCAACATCTTTTTAGAAGGAGAAAATTATCATTTTATTTCTATTATAAGGTCCTAACACACATGCACTTTTAGAGGTCAGAGATGACCTAAATTGTTGTTTTACAAAATCAGTTTAATTTTGTCAAATACCTACACCTATATTAGGCATGTTTTTGGGTTTCTTGCATTAATGCAAATTAGCAGGTCTCTAGTGTAAGAGCATCTGGTTTAAGAGTCAGCAAGTGACTTTATCTCTGTTTTTTATATGTGTTAGGGTATGCAAACTACTTCACTTTCTTTTTTTAAAGAAATCAGGAAACCCATCAGTAAAATTAGAGAGTAAAGTTTTAATGTTTCTGTAAAGGAAACAACATTTGTTTTATATAATTGTTCAACTAAACATATGAATTTGACACTGCTGAAAAATCCTCAAACCCTATAAAACTGCCAGTAATGCTGGGAAGCAGTGGAAGTTTTGTCTGGATGTTTATATGGCTCCAGATTTATTGACTGACAAGGTGAGATATATTTGGGCTGCCAGAACAGCAGTGAAAGATGTCCCTATTCAATTTTTTTCTTCCCTCCCTCTGAGACAATTTTCACTGGGAAAAAGAAAATCTAATCTTAATGTTCTTTAGTATTCAAATCACATGTCCAGACTCATACAGAACTGTTGCAATTTTTGGTCTTGAGTTTAGTTTGTTTGTAACCTTTCTTTTTTAAAAGCATCACCATCCTCATAAAGGGAATGTTTTCTAAGAGAAAACACCACGACAGCACTATTGGGGCATAAACAGAGGTCACAGATTTAATAACTATTCAGGGAAATGTTGCCGCTTGTAACAGAAGGCGATGCTGGATTTGCAGCTCTTTTTCTTAAAATAGGTGCGTGGTAAATTGCAGAGTGCATTTATATCAGCATCTGGCTTCGCTGTCAGCAAAAATTTTCAAGATTCTTCAGGGGCAGATTTTCCAAGATGAACACTTTCAAAGAGGGAATGGATGTAAAGCACTTTTATTTTATTTATTTTTTTGGCAATAACACATAAGACCCTGCATGCTACCTCCCAATAGGCCTGACAATTCACGATCGACTAGTGGTAATATTCCTATTATAAATTCTTGTTTTTTAAAACTCTTTGATCTAATATTCCAATAAGGACTTGGTTTGCAAATAAGAGTGAGTAGGAAAAGACATTGTAAGGATAAGAGGTCTTTGATCAACAAATTTTCACCTTCGAACTTTGTGCTGTTACATTCAAAGAATTTTTATTTTTACTTTTTGTTTTTCAACAAAAACACTTATGTGCATTGTCATCTTCTTTAAATGTACTCTTAAAATAGGTGGACAAGAAATCAACTCTTTCAGTGAAAGCTTGAATGAGCTGGAATGTACTTGATAGACACACGCAGATAGTCTCACCAGCTTTGTGGGGCCTTTTCATTGGCTTCTATAAATTTCTACAGCCTAATCGTGACCCTTACCCTAAACCTAACCATTATGTAAAATCTACCTGTTAAATGTTAGTGATTTTTCCTCATTTAAAAACGTGCATAATGTAAAATGTCATAATGTTGCAAGGTGAGACCCTGGAGATGTATAAAATGATTCTTTCACGGTTTTTCTAGTCTGACTTCCTGATAAAGGGAGATATGTAGATGGTAAGTGGCGCCTTTGTATCAGTGCAACCTATCTGGTCTTAGTAAAATTAAATTTTTGTTAAAATTTCGCCTGACCCTTTCTTTTCATAGCTGCTTTATTTGTTATATATGTATATACGTGTATTTATATGTGTATATATGTATATATCTATATATATTTATATATTTATATATATATAGTATAAATACTATAGTTTTATATATATATATATATATATATATATATGCCTCAATTGAATGAAAAGCCAGTATTAAAAGCAATGACTGTAATATAGAATAAAAAAAACCCCAACAACAAATAGAACCTTGTTGAAAAGTTAATAAGATCCCAGACTATACTTAA